ATAAATTTTATGAGTAAATATAGTTTTTATGTGATTTTCCTAGTATCGGATAGTTTTTAAAATTAAGAGTATATATATCGGACATGGGACCCGCTAGTGCGAGAAGTTCGGAAAAATTCGGCCAGTTAGGTTAAGTTTTGGATACTGGGTTTAATTTACCGAGTGTTATGAGATATTTAGAGGTACCAAGTGCATAGGTGTGAGAAAGACAAAAAAAGTTAGGCATGAAATTAATGAGAGGGACAAGTGTCATGACAAGTGTCACCATGGGATTTGGTCTTAAGTAAGACCACTATTCACATTTTGTCCAATTGACCTAATAAATCACAAAAATCACCAAAAATTCACCATTTTTCTCTCCATCTTGGCCGGCCCTCTCTCTCAAGAAGAAAGGAAGAAACTCTCCAAGTTCTTGATTCCATCTTGCTCCAACTCATCAAAACAACCACTTAATCTTACTTTTGTTCCATAGAAAACCTTAAGTGAGTGTTTGTGTGGGGTTTGGTAGAGTTGTTTGGAAAGCTAAGAGGATTTGTTGCTCTCTCTCTCTTGTTTCTAAGGTGAGTTATGAAGAACCACTCTCCTCCCTCTAATGATGTTAAATCCATGATTAGTGGTAGTATAAGATGCAATTTTATGGATTATATCTTGATTTGTGGTTGAATTGATGAAGTTTTGTAATTATTGGGGATTTTTCTGTTTTAATATGAATATGATTATGTGGCCATGTATGATGATTGGAAATGATATTTGAGGAATCTAGAAGGTGGAAAAAGTGGTTAATTGCAAGAAATTTCTGTTTGGAAGAAAATTGAAAAACTAGGGTTTCAAAGTTATACATTCTGCCTGGTTTTGTAGCTCATGGTTAGAGGCTGAATTGGCTTTAAGTTAAAACATGAAAGTTGTAGGGAATGACATTTTAGGAGTGCCTACAAAATTTCAGGTTAATCGGACTAGCGTAGCTTGGGAAAATTTGAAATTACCCTTGCTGTCCTGGTTTTACCCGAATGTAAGAATTGCGCCTGTAATTGGATGTTTTGGTTGGTATTGCTTCGGAATTTGTTGTTGAGGTCTTCTGAGGAAATGTAGACCTGTTTCTAAGCTTTCGGATGGCTTTGGAATTTCTGGATTTGGACTTAAGTAGGCTGATTTATGCTGTTTACACCAGAATGCGTTTTGTGAATCTGTTTTTCCGATTCTGGTGTAGTAGATTGCATATTTAACCTGGTTACACTCAAAACTAGGCTGAGTGACCTTCTGTAATATTGTAGCCCTATCTTTTAGCTTCGAAACGGTGGGTCTTGTACCTTCATCTGATAATCATAGTGCCTTTGGTGCCATTACCGTAAAATGAGGCCAAAAACTATTTTTTTCAGGGCTAAAACTAATTCCATTTCCGGATTTTCTGGTTTTCCCTAATGCTTGTATATGCTTATGGAACCCTATTGGGGTTGTGTTTGGCATTGGTTTATGACTCGTTATCGAGTCTCATTGTACTTGTTTGCTTGTTTTAGGGCGTGACGGTGGTACACAACGTTCTTTTGACGGAAGTGCATGAAACCTCATTTGCAAGCTTGGTGAGTGTACTACTCACTTGTGTGATACTATATGGCTTTGATACTTGTACTTGATGCGTTGAATGTTAAATGATGGAAGTGAGAGCGTACTTTATCACTCTCACCTATTGCTTATCATGTTATTTGAATGTTACATGAAATGAAAGTACTTGATTTGGTGTCGTTTGGACGAGTATCCAACGACCATGATTGTTACCATTGAGCTCAACTCCATTGGTAGTTGATTGAATCGAATCGGCAAGGGCTTGGTCGTGCCAATTAATGAACCTTGGGGACTGTTATGGAATCTTGTAGTATGAGAGACTCTCGATTCCGGTATACTCGAGTAATACCATAGTGCAAGTGTTTGGAGTTCAGGCCCGGTAGGGGAATGTTAGGTGGAAGGGATGGAAGTAAAGTGAAGTCTACGGTTGGTTACTTTTTAACATTGACGGAGAGTCAATGAGATCCGATCAAGAATGCAAACGAGGAAAAGGGCTCTTGAGAGCCGCCCGTATCCTTTTATCATCCTTATTGATGTGTGTCTTTATTTACTTTTGATGAATTGGATTGAAAAGCTTGATGCACCTATGAACTTGGTTGCTGGAGTAGTATTATCTCACTGGGCAATTAGCTCACTCTATTCCTTTTGTTTTCCTTACAGGAAAATAAATACTTTTGGATTGCAATTGATATTTGGTTGCCGAATTGAGCTAGTTGGACATATCTTTTGTATAGCTCATTTATTGAAACCCTAAATGTACTTTTGGGACCGTTTCTCTTTTGATTTGGCAAACCAGACATGTATCCACTTTTGAATACTTTTGTATGCCATTTTGGCTTGTAAATGCTAAGTTTCAAGATGTGAATGTTTGCTTGATATTTGGTTGGATTTTGACGGGTCGGTTACTATTCGTAGCCGACTTCGGTTTTCATTTTTTTTATTTTGGCATTTTGATTTGTTTAATCGCGTTGGTAAGTTCCGGAACGTATTAGCTCGCTCTATACCGAACTGTTAGTCCTGGCGAGAGATGGGCAGGCAGTCCGCTAACCCCTCTGGTTCATCTTAGGGGAAGGTGGGGCTGTCACATTCTTGACTTAGAGAGCTCAATCTGTACTCACTCGTAAAGTTAAAAGTACCTATGAACTCTCAAAACTGGATGATGCCTTACCTGCGAAAATTGAGAAAGTTTCAGATGTTGCCAAATTCAAGAAAAGGTTGCTTGAGATGACAAAATATAGTCAAATTCCATAATAGTTTAAGGGCTCATTTATTATGCATCCATAAGCGACGACAAAATTCCAAAAAAGAAAAGAAGAAGTAGTCAGGTCAAATTTGCTTCTGTTGCTAAATTGCATACACTTTAACGAAAGAAGACACCGGTCAATATCTAATCTTGTTCCCTAAAAGATAAAATAGAAGGTCACATGTTTTAAATAGTTGAATTGTTATCATTATGCTATGCCTCCTGACGAAGATCATCGTGGATTAACATTATCACACAAAAATATTTCCTTGCGGCCTATAATTGCAAATATCAAGACTTTTGAGCTGCTGGTTCCTACTTAAACGGAAATTTTTCGAAAACAAAAAAAAAAAACCTTTTCGATCACACACACACACACGCATACACACATATATATGTTCGTATGTTTGTATATATATGTATATGTATATGTATATATATGCATGTGTATTATGTATATATGTATTAGCATGCATATATTATGTGTGTGTGTGTGTACATATACCAAAAATCAAAATACTCAAATGCTTTAAAACACTACAAGAAATTTGGTCATTAGTGACAATATTTATCAGTGACGAAAACAAATCGTCACAGAATGGGGTCTTTTAACCACAATACAGAAAGTTGTCACAATTGAGTTAAGGGAGTCAACACATCAGTGACGATCTTGCATTGTCGTCACAATTTGATTCCCGCCAGGAGTCATGGAGAGGGCGGGAACTGCAATAGTGATGACTTTCTAAAAGTCGTCAATATTAATAACCCTTTCGTTGACAACTTTGCAATTGTTGTCATTGATAACATTATATAGCCGTTAGTGACAACCTAGTTTTGTCACTGTTTGATTTAAAATATTTATGACTTTTTGCAACTATTACTGCTAATTTTTTGTAATCATTATGTTTTCTCTAACGATTTATAACTGTTATATAGTTATGAGCCTCCTTATTAGTTTAATTTTCTTGTATATGTAATAACTTCATTAGAATAAAAAATAATTAAAAAATAAAAATCATTAGCGTAAATAAACTTGTGACTGCTTAACTTAGAATGATTATTCGTTAATTTGATATGAATATAAATAAGAGTTTTCAAATTGAACTAGTTATCGAAGTGGATAAAACCTAAACTCCATAGTTAATTAACTAATACACTTTATGAATTGGTTTAATTGTGCATTTTTTTTCTTATTTGAAGATAATGGATTAATATTGAAGTTTTGTATTGGATGTTAATTGAATGTGTGCTATTTAAAATGTGCTTTGTTAATTGAATATGCTCTGTTTAAAATCTACTAAAAATTAATGGCAACCTATTTAAAATTTTGCCACTCATACTCAAATTTTTAATCATACTAAAATTTTTAAAATTGTGACACAAAAATAATGAATAAAAATGAAATCTACATTTCAAATACAATTATAAAAGACAAAATTTCACAAATTTTTCTTGTGTAAAAAGGGGGGAATTATGATGTCCAAATCTAGTTAAAATTCAAGACAAAATCAAAGTGGCGCAAATTTTAAAATTCAAGCCAAAAAAAGAGGTGCAAATTTGTTTAAGTCTCTTATACCATGTAGATGCAAAACAAAAACTTTTCTAAGTGTTGAACTCTCTCTCGGACTCTCACAAATCACCTCACTTTTACTCAGACCGTCAGACGCCCGCACTCACCTGTACCTCCACCTCCACTTCCACCTCTACCTCCACCTCCACTGCATTCTCGATCTCTCTGATGATTGAAGACCAGTGAAGTACCGTGGCTTTTTGGCATTGACGACCAAGTAATTCTCCAAGTCTCTGTAGCAAAGGTTAGTTCTTTCCCTCTTTTCTTTGTCTCTAAGATAATTTGCAAATATTTTGGCCCTACGCTTGTTTTTTGTTTATTTTCTGAAAATTTCTACCTGCATTCTTGTTGAACCTGCATTGAGTGTGTAATTTTATGGTTATTTACATGATTAATCTTTTCATTCCCTGAAATTTTAACTTAGGGAAAAAATTAGAGAAAAATTTTTGCCTAGTTATCGTGAATCCCCTAGATTAATTGTATCCTCTACTTCTTGGCCCACTTGGGAAGGACTTGCTGCTTCGCAACTATTTTTTGTAAAAATTTTCCAATCTCTGCACTTTTTTATGGCTGAATCGGAGAGAATTAGTGAGTTATAGTCCGCATCGGTAGTATGTGAAAGTGTGTGAAAAATGAGCGGAGTGGCGAAGAAGATAGCCGATGTGACTTTCAAGGCCGGGAAGACCATCGATTGGGAAGGCATGGCGAAGTTCGTCGTCTCAGATGAGGCTCGCAAGGAGTTCGCCAATCTCCGCCGTACTTTTGATGAAGTCAATTCCCAGTTGCAAACTAAATTCAGCCAGGAACCAGAGCCCATAGACTGGGAATTTTATAGAAAGGGGATTGGATCTAAATTGGTTGATATGTACAAAGAGGCATATGAGAGCGTTGGGATTCCAAAATACGTTGATACAGTTACACCGGAGTACAAGCCAAAATTTGATGCTTTGTTGGTAGAGCTCAAAGAAGCTGAGCAACAATCACCCAAAAAGTCTGAAAGACTGGAGAAGGAACTTGTTGAATTTCAAGAGCTGAAGAAGAAACTCAGTACCATGACAGCAGACGAGTACTATGAGAAGCACCCAGAACTCAGGAAGAAGTTTGATGATGAAATCCGCAACGACTACTGGGGATACTAGAATTGATTGGAGACTCAGCTTCTGCTTAAGCCTTTTGACTTCATCCTTAGGAATAAAAAGAAAAACAAATCGGCTTATTATTACTTGAGCATTTGAAGAATGTCTACTGAAGATGTATTTTGTACTCGAAAAAGTGTGGTTCTCCAAATTTAGATAATGCATCTTTCGTGCGATTGCTTTCTGCTTTTTACACATTGTGTATATGGATGACGTAGTGATTGTTCATAAGCACTACACTACTGTTTCTCGGCCTAAAAAAAAAACTATTTTTGTACAAAACCCAGTTACGGCTGGACTTGGTAGGTGGAGAATTGAACAAAAATTCACTAGCGGTTGGAAAATTCTGGTTGTTGTCGTTGGTAGTGTAAAATGTTGATCACACTTTCTGCTTCTTTTCCTCATTAGACAAACCTATCCAACAAACTTAGAAAACATTAAATTAGATGTGTTTTGCCACTAGTTTTTGGGGTTGGTTTAGTTTATCTAACAAGCTAATTGGGGCTTTTGTATGGGTATGCAGAATAGGAACATATGTGATGTTATGTGCTTGATTTGACCCAGTTTTTTTCCTCCTCAAATTGAATATGATTGAGTAGGCTAGGTATGTGTCATATGGAGGGGTTGTTCATGACTAGAAATCTGCTTTGGTTATTCTTTTTCAGACTTGGGAGTTGATGTTGTATAGTTTGAGAAGTATAATTTTAGGAATGGCTTAAATTACTTGGAGCTTTCTTTTGCATCTTTTGTAATGGTACATAATCTATGTTGTTTTTAATGAATTGTTGTTATTTGTACCTGACATGGACTTTAGTGAAAATGTGTTTTATTTGATTGGATTTTCATTGTTGGTATTTGGCAAATTTAAGTTTCCATACATAGTGCTCTGTCTTCAGTATAATATTATATGTTCATATTCTTGATGTTAGGATAAAGGGCTGCATAAATATGGATAGGAGCTGGATGTCAATTAAGAATTACCTAGATCCTAAATATTTAGATGGAGTCAATGAATTTATTAGCTTTGCTTTTTAAGATAAGGATCCTAATTGTAAGCTTCCATATCCTAATTGTCCTGAATACGTTGAAGAATCTGATTGGTTGTACTTGTGCGACTACTTTTGTAGTCCAGAATTTAAGGTACTGGGACATATTCGATCATTTAGCATACTTCAATCTCGATATGTCTTTGTTATTTTGATGAAGGTTTGAAATCACAAGTGTAGGTGATAAGTGAGTGAAATAAGATAAATAGATCAAAACAAAAAACTGCTCATACAGCTGGAACAAAATCTTTTCTACAGCATAAAGCTGAACGAGTAATTAAATATACTAGCTAGTCTTTTATATTGCAAGTCTGGTTCATTAACTATTGCTGTGCTACAGGAAGCAAAAGAAGGAAGGTTAATTGGACCAATCTAACTAAATGACATGACTCATTTTAGTAGGAAGAAGAATGCAATGATTGACGACACTCAACTCAAAACTCAGTAAGAAAAATACCACTTTTAGCTTCAATATCATTGTTTCACATCTCCAATACACATGAACTTCATAAATCTGTGCTTGTAGAGCAAGATGAAGGAGCTGCAGTTGGAATCTCAAGCTAGTGGTGCGGCTAGGACTGAAGAAGACATATGTATTGTAGTAACCGGGTGTGTAACTGGATATGTAGGTGGTCGTGGTCCCTCCAAAGCTAGCTTAATTGCATAAAAACTGGCGGAGATAGATGAATTCAAGAAAAGAGCTGAACAGGCTGAAAAGCGCTTAGCAGAGTTGGAAATTCAAGTCCAAACTCAACAGCAACTTATGCAAAGGTTGGAGAACCAGCAAGCTGAAATGCAAAACCAACAAATTGAAATGCAAGACCTTCTTAAGGCTGTAAAAGTTGAATTGCAGTTTAGGAAGTAAGGCAATGAGAGTATATCTGGCAATGATAAATGGTAAACAATCTTTCTCATACATGCGTTTGAATTAGCCTCGCTTTTGTCTTTACTAAAATTTGCCTCATGGTTGTAGAAACTATGATTAGATTCGTACGACTGGGTGAATTACTTAGAGATTAATGATATAAGCTGATATCATTTGCTACAAGTTTGGAAGTTTTTATAATTGTTATCTCGATGTCTCTAATAGTATGTATGACCTTGAAATAGCCTCTCCTTTGGGATATGTCTGATGAATGAAGGCCTTTAAATGTGATGGATGTCCATAAACATATGACCAGACTATATGTCCAGATTGTTCTTGATTCAAATTTCCTTTGTTAAACTTGCTGTGAAAATTTTCCAACACTATCTACTTTGATGTAAAGCATCCTGGTGGTTTACTATGTTGATCAAATTCTGTAGATAAATAGATGAAAGTCGATGTCATCTATTGGCCCTATTTTCATATATGAAAATGCCTTTCTTCTTTAATTTTGTTTCTTTTCTTCCTTTGGTTTTTTGTCGTGGCCAATTATAATTTGCTCTTCCAAATCAATTCTGAAAATATGCTGTTGTATATGAAAATGTACTATTCTATATGGCCCGTATATTGGTCAAGAGTATTGATTACCTATTGTAAACCTTGATTGCTAATTGTGTACTCTTCGCTTAGAAACAGCAGTTAGATATAAGACAAATATTTATGTGCTTATTTGTGGGAAAGTGGATAGGAAAATTGATGGTTTCTCTCATTGCTTATATCTACTTAATATGCGGCTGATCACTTGTACTATGTTGCAAGCAACTTGCCTGGAAGCCTCTTATAAGGAGATAGTAAAATATGGCTTTTGCCAAAACTATATTGTTTCAATAGCCTTTTGCAATGAACTTTACTTGAATTGAAGCTATGTACATAGCCAATTGATTAACAATGATTTATTATGTACTTAATTTGTTATGTTCATGTGAATCAACTGCATTTTTGGGTAGATAAGCTAATCAAAGTTACTTTTACTTTGATGTTTTGCTCGTCTCCATATTTACTACTTAGTTTTCTTCCTTAATACAGAAAATGGCTGTTCATTCAACCTTTTTGGAAGATCAATGAATATTACTGAAATTTCCAACACTAGAGTCCATGCCTTTGATTGACCGACATTGGAGATGAATATGTCTTTTGTTCATGCAGCTCACTTACGAGTTTTCTATTTCTTTATTTCAGTAGTCTTTTGTAAAATGACCTTAATTTGATGTAAAATTTGGGATGCCTAGACCCCTTATCGAAACATTTATTTTGTGATGTAGAACTTATATAAGATTTGGAGATAATTTGTGGTATATTGGCATGCAGCTTCTAATGCAGTTTCAACTTTTATTTGTTTTTTAATGGCATGTAAGATATATTATTTTTCATTTTTAGATATAATTGTAGCAGGAAAATCTTCAAATTTCATGGTGATAAAGTGTTGTCACTGAATCAGAATTCTCCATTGATAACAACCTGTTGTCATAGAATTAAAAAGTGTTTAGTGATGACAAAAATTGTCAATAATTAGTCTATACCAATGACAACTATGAATTAGTTTTAGTGACGACATTGATTTGTACATCATTGACAAGATATTATGTCATCACTAAAAGTACAACAATTATTGACGATATCAGTTGTTTCAAAATAGTCCTATTTAGTGACGACTTTTAGGGTCGTCACTATGTATTTTTACACGGGCCTTCAGTGACGACTCTATGACAACTAGAAAGTTGTCAATAAAAGTTATCAGTAACGACTTTTTATTATTTTGTGAGAAAAATGGCTTGTCACTGAAGACCAATTTTCTTGTAGTGAAAGTTGCTATACATAGTCAAGGAAGTGAAAAAAAAGAAAAAAGAATAAGCAGGTGAACAAATAAAGATATAATTCATTTTTACCTAAAATAAAATACTTAAAAATCTACTCAAATAAAAAATTATACTTGGCCAAGTGAAGAAAAAGTAAAGCGTCCACTTGGCAAAAGGTCAGATAAACCAACTCAACAACCTATCAAAATAGGAATTGATATTTAATTTTAGAAAGCGCAAAAATTATTGAAATTTTGGTAATAGTAATGTATTACAAAACCAAGTATTAAGGATAAAAAGAATGATCGAGGAGAGAATTAAAAAAGTAGAAAAACTACGATGTGATTGACAAAAAGTTTTAGAAAAAGGTGTAATTAATACAAACATATATAAAGTAATGAAGTAAATGATTATTTGAGAGTTGTTGTGGCTAAGCAAGTTAACAAAGAAAAGAAAATAAGTGGGTAAAAAAATAAAGATGAAATTGATTGTTACCAAAAATAAAATACTTCAAAGATACTCAAATAAAAAATTAAATTTATTTAGTCATATGGCAAAATAGAGCATCCACTTGACAAAATATTAGAGTACCCAACTCAATAATCTACCAAAATAATAACTATATATATATATACATGATTGTGTTGCCTTGGGAATATTTTTCTAGAACAAAATTAAAAAGCTCGAAATTATGTGTTACCAAAACAAGAGAAAAAAAGAAATCCAACAAGAAACACAAATATTAAATTCGTCCATGTGACAACATGGGAGGGTGTTTTCTTGACAAAATGTGAGACTATCCGACTCAACAACTTTCCAAAATAGAAATTGAATAGTGAACTATTATGTTCATAATGGGTTTTATCTATTGGATGCCTTTAACATACCTAAATCGCACCTAAACTTCCATTTGAACGCACACACTAATAATTACCTTCTCTTGTGTTTATACACATTTTCTAATTAATTTTACTATTCTGAAAATCTAACACTTGAACTACATTTAACAAGTGCCTAGTAACAAATCTCCATTAAGCACTCGTTAAATGGATCTTTTTATAATATCATATGATTGAAGCATCTGATGACTGCATTTCATTTTTTATTTTGGTTAGGATTTGAAATTTTCACTATATGTGTGTGTATGCGTATGTATATTATTTGTTTGTGTGTGTGTATATAATGCATTTTTCTTTACAACAAAAGCATGCTGTAAAAATGTGTCATAGTAGAAGAAACAAAAGTTAAAGTAATGACATCATGATTAAACCATTGAGTC